TTATCGCATTCTTTTTTTAAGTCGATTGCTTTAAATAATTATGTAAATTTTGGCTAGATTCAGCCAGGTTTTATCACTGTATTAAAATTTATCATTCGGCCAGTCACAGGGAAATACTGGCATGAACAATACGTTACTCGGAAACGATGGGGGATGCGCATGCTTTTCACACACCTCCACGCAGGCAAGCAGCTCCGTAATCATGATATGTGATAAAAAATTCCTTCACTAAAGGCAGTGTGTTGTGGCCTAAATCCAGTCTTGTCCAGTGTAGAAGTTATACATGCATATCAAACCACTGTGTGAAGCTCCTGCTGCTGTTAAAGTTTAGCTATATACCGACTATGGGCCGGGAAGGAATCGAACCATCCCCATCACATTCGGACGCGACATGCTACCCACTACACCACCGGGATCTTGTGTTCCAAAAGTAGCCCAGCAGCACGTTCACTGTGTATCTGCCTTTCAAGGTGAAATGTTGCCTCCCATAAAGGAGTATGCGTCTTTTTTTTACAGGAATTTCTTTTTTATGGTAGTTTTTCGAGACTAGGTCTGTATCGGATTTTCATACCTAACACTGTATGCTTGCTGTCTCATCAAAATTTGTCCAAGCAGTTTTTTTTCGCGGGTACCACTGAGTGTCTACTTTTACTTCTAGTGTTTTTCCTGTTTAGTTAAGGAATTCTTGCGGAAGAATGTTGGGAAAGCGTATTTAACAAAGAAAAGGCTCGCATTTTAGATCTGAATGATTTCCTCATCTAACCTCAACACTGAGCCCAAGCTCATTTAATTAATAAAACGAATCTTAGCCCCACAAAAAATGAATAACCGAGCATGTAAATCGGGCAGTTCGATCTTTCTTAGCTTAGAATCCGATGCAAATCAAGTTCTACTTTACGAGTTATATTTTAAGCTTACGTACTAGTGGTTATCGAGCAGCAGATTTCCACAAGGTTGATATCGTAAAATAACTTTTATGAGGATTTTCGTAAGACAAACGTTGAAAAATATTTTTGTTAATTGACATGTTAACATCAAAAATCCGTAACGGCAATTCGGGTGATTCTGGTGATCCTGTAATCAGCATTGTAGCAAACTAAACGAATAAAGTATTGTGAGTGCTTCAGAAATCAGTCACAAAGCAAGCAGTGGATCGGAAAGACGATGTAAA